GTAGGGCCTTTGTCACGGTTGCAGACTCAGTGAGTCAGTCAGACAGTCAAGCACTCAACTGGCCTACTCCTTGCTGCCGGCCTGCTACTCCGCCTTCTTGGACCGTAGCACCGCCTGAATGCTAACAGCACACCAAACTGCAAACGACGAGGGGTGATGCGTCTTCTTGCTGTCGCGCACCGCGTTAACAATTGTGGCATTACTGTTGTTCTTCCAGTTGGTATTGGAGACATGTGTACATTCGTCCATTCTCCCCTCCTTTTATCATTCCATTTAGAGCCTCGAAGTTAGAGGAAGGTTATCTGACGATGGCATCGCCGAAAACTGTAATCTTTCTGCAAGCATAGTGGAAATGGTTCAATGTTCAAATATGCCCCTAACAGCGTGGCAATTACACGCCAAATATTGCTGTGGGTAATAACACATGACTTTGTACCCACAATCAGTAGCAATCTTTGCAGTTGAGATACCCTGTGCATGCATGCGTGCGTGTGTGTCGAAATGGATCAGAGCCCGGACCCTAAATTTATCCTAGTTGAAAGTTCCTTGTTGAGGAGCACACTACTGATTGTTATTAAGTAAAAGCTGTGGCCAGGGTGAAAACTAACCAGCAAATGCCTACACAAAATGCAAATCTAACTACTGCATGTTTCCACCATATTCACCGAAAAGCAAATAGCATTAAAGACACCATTAAAATTATTTATGCTTTGTGGCTCTAAATAATGGAGAAGCTTCTTGCCACCAGTAGACATGATGGGTCATCCTTTTTGGACATTAATAGCAAGAGGTTGAGTGTACCGCCAAAACCGCTGCGCCATCCTCCCTTTTAGGATTTATTACGAATTTCACTGGCAGCTCCACCAAGTATCGGTGTAACTATTGTATCATTGACTGTTGAAAGGCCTGTTTCCACCCTCCTGATGTAATACTCATTTTTGCCCATACTTGAGCACCATTAACATGGGTGCATTTGGCATATTCATCATAGAAATAAGCAAGCGTGATTGTTGTACTGTGCTTTCATAAGTAGCATTACTGATAGATGCATTCTATCCGCAAAACCACCACTGACAAGATTTCAAATGCATTTTTGCATCCCTTTACTGATCTGCAGGAAAGAATATTTACTGACAGCAAGTCTGCTCTACCCCACTTCGTCACTCACCTGATAGACTCACTGGCTAGTTGTACCAGAAGGGAATCTATCAAAGGTGCTTTTAACCATATTCTCCCTATACCGAAAATATATCAACTTTAAAGGCAAATGAGAGAAGTAAAATAACTAGTAGGTTTAATCAACGGCATCATAATAGCTACTAGACACAATTTGATAACGTCTTGTCATAAATAACGTTGAGCAAATTTTATCTGGCTCGTTTACGCACATACAACAGTGAAAAGTGGATGTAAGCCAGTAAATCATTTATTCCTCCGTCGATCAGCACCGCAGATAATCAATTATCCTGTTTATGGTAACCCTTCGTAGGGCCTTTGTCACGGTTGCAGACTCAGTGAGTCAGTCAGACAGTCAAGCACTCAACTGGCCTACTCCTTGCTGCCGGCCTGCTACTCCGCCTTCTTGGACCGTAGCACCGCCTGAATGCTAACAGCACACCAAACTGCAAACGACGAGGGGTGATGCGTCTTCTTGCTGTCGCGCACCGCGTTAACAATTGTGGCATTACTGTTGTTCTTCCAGTTGGTATTGGTAGTCGTCCCCGATAGTGGTTTTCCAGGAAAAGCAGCTGCGCCTATAAAATAATACTTGAGCATGACGTACTTACAGGATGGCAGTACCTGACGTTGAAGCAATCCAACAGGAACTTCCTTGAAGCCAA